ACGGGCTCCTTTTGTTATTTGATGGTGACAATCTCATGGTATATATCAGTTTTCTTTATGACAGATGATGACTAAGTCTTTTATCCTCTCTGTCCCCAAGTACTTAACCTTTCACTTGCCAATAATAATGTTGCTTATGTTATTAGTAATTGGTAATTATAAAATACATCCAAAGTTTCTTTCTCAGTATCAGAGAATGAGCTAGGCATTTCAGTATGCAGAACTTTAATTTCAATCTTTGGTCAGGAAGCCAATAATTTAATGAGGGATAGATAAAGTTAATAAATAACTTGCCTTTTGATACGATTGTTAATGTTCTAGATGTTGGTGTGAGAGATGAAAAAAGAAAGGGTGTAGAGATGAGGGGAGGGGGATTTGTGCAGAGGGAACGCTGACTTCAAGATTTGTAGGATGAGCAAGCCCAAGGGCATATGAGGACAATGACTAGGAAGACAGAAAATCAGTGTGGAAATGGTTCTCAGTCCTGCATGTCCTCTTCAGCCAAGGTGAGCAGACTTCTTCTGGGACCAGGCAAAGTCATTCTCTTGTGCAATACAGAGCTCTGATTGGATAATCTGAAATCAGCCATAGACCAAGAATGGATGAGAGGACGTGGCTGTGGTCTAATAGAACCTCATTTGTAAAAAGCCCCTTGATATAAGCCTTACATTCATTACATTGCTCAATCCTAATTACAATCAAGATACCACTAGATAGGGCCTGGCCAACCATGCCGGCAATCCAAGTCATTTCTGCACTTCTGGGAGGTGTGTAACATGCATATACATATGTACGTATGTGAGGAATACTGAGCACAGATCAGGTATGGACCTAAACCTCAGATATTTACTGCCTGGCTTTGTGCAAAACGTCTGCTAACTTCTGCACTAGCTTCCCTCTGAGAAAAGGGTAAGACCAGCCTTGATGTAAAGGAAGCAAATAGGAACTAGGCTCCATCTGAGAACCACCAAGTCTTCATGAGAGAAACACTCCCTTTGTGAGAACAAGTGCTTCTGTGGAATTCCATGGCCCATAATCCCAGAGGGTGAATGACTGTCAGGTGGGGACCTGACTGAAGGGACTTCCATGAATTTCCACCCGTCCATCATCGGTGTGTAACTGATAAGTGTGTGGGCAGTTGCCTGATAGAGCCAAAGGATGTCATTCAGGGTCTCAAGGTGATCTTGCTCTTAAGGAGGTAAAGCAGGGAAGCATGGGAAATCTCTGAAAGTTCTCTTTTGGTTTCATGAAGACTGGGCTATGTCACTGGCAACGGGACTGCCTGTTATTCTGGAAATCGTGTGTTTACAGCTTGCAACAGATAAGTAAAGGGAATTCTCATTACCTTTAGAAATACCCCAGCTCAGGTTCCATCCATGTCAGTGTAGCCAGAGAGAGAAAAGTTGGTGCCAGGCTGGATTATGTGTCTTTGTACATCATCACGGGGTGGAAATTGTTAGTCTCAAACCACAGCAGCTCTTCTGACTTCATCTTAGAGTTCTTTCAGCAACCTCCAGCTAGTTCCTGGACAGAGGAGACACAAAATAAAGGTTGGTGGCAAGCCCATCCTTTGAAAGGCATACTCAAAATGAGGTCAAATGTAGGAAAAAAGAAGATTACTACATTTGCTTTGAATTGATTTGTATGATACGTATTTAAAGACCCTCCAAATTCTTAGCTTATACATTTAGGACTAGTGACCATAAAAGTTTGTTAACATTAAAAGAATTGCAACATTTTCTTTGTAATTGATTGTAACTGCTTTTTTTTTTCCTTTTGAAAATTTCTGGGTAGTTTGTCCTGTTGCTTTGTTAGCTGTGTTTTGTGGAACTTTTGATTATGACTATCTTACTTTGGCCATTAATCTAACTCCAGCATTTCAGTTTTAAATATACTTTTTATAGTTTAAAAAAATACTGCAAAGAAAGAGAGTGACATTTAGTATTTAGAGAACATTTTTTTTCCATCTAGAATTTGCCTAATTTAGGCTCTAGTCATTTATAGCAAAATTGAAAATCGCAAGGTGGCCCATTGGTAGTTAGAGACAGAAAGTTGCTCCCCATGAGTCCTGGTGTTCCACTTCTATCTCATATTTCTTCAGAGCTAATACATTTCCTTCTTGGGAAACAAAAGCTCTTCCCTCCCTCTGAGGTGCATCAATCAAGGTTGTGGGGCTGGAGGGACACTGAGGGAACAGAGGGTACCGGGGAAGGAGAGTCCTTCATTGGCTTTCTTTTCTAGGAGTTTCATCGAGATTGAATGAGGGAAATGTCCCACTTTATTTAGTTCTTTATTGGAAAACACACCAGCTGGGAAAAGGTATTAATTTTGTCTTAAAAAAATGTCCAACTTGGTATAGCCAAAGCAAAAAATAGAATTTAGATAGAAAGTGTAAACCAAAAAAGTGGTCTCATTCTGTGTCAGCCATCACCCGGCAGAAGACGGTCCTGACATTTCTTGTCATCCCCCTCACCATGCTTTTCGCTTTTGGGCTGGCATCACCCGCAGGCCTCCAGGACCCTGGTCTCCCCCAGCCCCCAGCATGGGCAGCATCGTTGTCCCCAGGGGTCCAGTGGGCTCCTCAGTGGTGGCTCTCACTCCAGCTACAGCTGCTGTCCTGGTAACACCTGGTTCTTCTCCCTAGATTCCAAACCATGGATGATCACAGCTGGAAAAAGCTTCCCGGGGTGCCTAGGTTGTGTGTGTGTGTATTAACATTTACTTCTTTATTTTTAATTTTCTAAAAAATACTGTATTGTCAAGGTGATGTACAGAGGTGGTGAGTACATTTCTTGTGGAACTTGTTACCCCCTCCCTCATTTTTCTCCCCCCCCCCAACATTTACTTCTTATAGACACTTGGTTGGGTGAGTTAGATGTTCAAAAGTGTTTACCTTTGTCAGCATTGTCTTAGCTTACATCTTAAAGGAGCTTTATTTTTTCACTTTTTTTGTAGTTTTAAAAAGTTTGCTTTAATGGATACATAAAAATGTAATGATTATACACAATACTAGGGTGCCATTCAATGCGTCAATGCATGGGAAGGGTGCGCAATGTTTAAACCAAGTGCGTGGCTCTTCTAGGTGAGAGCTTTCTTGTGGCCTTTTGGAATGGATGGTGTTAGTAAGATGGAGAATGGAAAAGGGGCAGGCCTGGGCCAGGACTGTTTATTGCCAGTGAAAGGCACAGACCTTCCTGTGAGTTTGGAGGTTGTGTGAGGGACCGGATTCTGGGGAGGGCTGAACAAGGAAGCAGAAAATATAAAACGGGCTTATGGCCTCTTGGGGGCCTAGGGCATTGGCCTTGGCCAGGCCTGGAGTAGAATGCTCAGTCTGGGATGAGGGGACTTGCAGCCAGGCTTAGGTTGGACTAGCCTGTCCAGGGACAGGCATGTGGCCAAGCCTCTTCCCTGGTGTCTTGCTTGACCCGAGGGGTAAGGTGGGAATCAACCCTTCACGTGACACATTATTGTCACCTTCTCCTCATCACACATCACTTCATGGTGACAACTGTCTGGTGGCCTCTTGAAGTGCATGATGCATTATTGTCACACCATGTCGGTACATCTTTGTCTCCCCCCCACTCCCTGCCCCGTGGGGTGACACATCAGAACTTTCTACTTATGCATTTTCAATCCATACTCACCACAGTTCATAGGTGGACATAAAAATCAGTATTATTTATTTTTATTCCTTTTTGTGTATATCCTTTTTTCTATACATTCCTATGAAATCTTTTGCCCAATGTATGCTTTATGTAATTGGAAATATGGCTTACATTTGAAAATAGATTTGTGTGTGTGTGTGTGTTTGTTTTTGGTGATTCTGTTTCTGGAGATAGAAGAAAGGTTCCCCCCCCCTCCCTGCTTCCTTCCTAGTTTCCACACGAAATCTCAGGTGCTTGAGATCCACTTGTGACAAGCATTTCAGGGTGTCTCACAAAAAGCAGTTTCACAACAAGAGCATTTTATCAAGGATGTATTTTAGAATGACAGGGTTAAAATAGGGGAAAATGGAAGAGAGAACAGCATTTTGTGTTCCCTTTGCAAAGAATGGGAGTTAAAGATTCAAAATGGTGGCTCCTTTGAGCTAGATGAACAGGCCTTGCCTAATTAAGATATATATAATCATAATTATATATATATATGTATATGTATTTTCCATTCAAGCATAATGCACGGGAAACACATCTTATACTTTAGCAAGTCACCCGTGCCAAAAAGAATCAGAAAACCACTATTTTCTGCAGTCACTGTGATTTTTAAATTTCTCACACTCAGATGATTTTAAGTGGGGTTTATTATGGGTCACAAGAAATAATTTTATCTCTTACTGTTGAGTAAAACTTAGTTATTTGTATGTATGGTGGGTTGTAAAAACTTTCTGCTTTGTAAATATTAGATTTGTCTGTGTTGCTAGGAAACACAAAATTAAAAACAAAGTTTATATAGGCATGAGAGAAACTGATGAAGTCTAAATCCTGTTGTTATAAACAAACGAATCTTTGAGGTACTCTCTCTTGTCAAAACAAACGTCTGTGAAATGTAATTCACTCGTAAAAGAGAAAGAAACTTCTCACCATGAAGTAATGATTTCTTGTTCTTTCTTTCCTTTTCTTTCTTTTATTATTTTTTTTCTTCTTTAATGTTTTCTTTTAAGAAAAAGTTTTCTTTTCCTCAACGTTGTTTCAAGTCTCTGGGAAAGTCTGTTCGGCATTTCCTTCTTGGGATTGGCGCTGGCATCTGTGTGTGTGTGCTTTGTTCTGGGGAAAGCTGAGGTCAGTTAGCAACTTGCAGCTAACTGTTAAAAAAAAAAGAACAAAAAAAGCTGAGTAATGCTGGCTGTGCCGGTGGCGCGGCTGATGCAAACCTGGAGAATTTGCATCATCATGAAGTTGGAGTAAGTTAGTGTGACAGGCGGGAGCTTAAATACCAGCCCCGAGGAGGCTGGGCGGCTGTGAGATGCAGGGGAGCGGGGCCCGGGCGCACAGGTGTCCCCGGGACGCACGACAGCGCGGGGCGCGCGCGCACCCCTGATCTCTCCACCTGCCCAGCACAGCCATGCCCAGAAGGACCTTCTGAGCGCACAGGGCACGGGAGAGGCCAGCCCGCGGGACGCCCTCGAGGGAAGGCTTTCTTTCTGCCTCCTCCTTCCCTCCCCGTGTCCCCCCTGCCCCGGGGCCGGCGCCTCTGCCACCATGGTCCGGAAGCCGGCCGTGGCCACCATCTCCAAAGGCGGTTACCTGCCGGGCAGCACGAGTGGACGGCTGCCGTCCACAGGGGCCCGGGCCGCCTCCGGCCAGGAGAGGGTGGTCCTGAAGAAGAAGATCACCCTGCTGCGGGGGGTGTCCATCATCATCGGCACCATCATCGGGGCCGGCATCTTCATCTCGCCCCGCGGCGTGCTGCAGAACACGGGCAGCGTGGGCCTGTCCCTCACCGTGTGGACCGTCTGCGGGCTGCTGTCGCTCTTCGGTGAGTGGGGGGAGCCGCCGCCGGCCCTGGGGCTGGGGACCGGGTCTCCCGGAGAGGAAAGGGTTATTTGGGAAGGCTGGGGGAGGGGGGTGTCTTAGGGGTGTTTGGCTGTTTCCTGGAGGTGTGTGACTGACCAAAACAACGTGTCCCCTGCGGGGGTCCCCCTCCCCCAAATCCCTTCCTGAAGGCTGCTTCCCACCTTCCCCTCCCCTCCCAGGGGTCCAGCAGGTGATTGCTTTGGAGGTTCACTTTGGTGAGCCACAACAAGCCTGTGCCAGCTTCCTGGACGGGCGCTCCTGCCCGCGCTCCCGTGTTCTGGCAGCTGGCATCCCAATGACACACCTGTGAGAGGAGGGCCTGTGGCCTGTTGGGTCCCCTGGCGTTGCCTTGAAAAGCAAGGGGGGTGGTGGCGACCAGCCTCCCCTGCCCCCGTCCTGCCCAGCTGCCTGTGGGGCCTGGGTCCTGGCAGGCCTGGAGAGGGGACTCCTGGGGAGGGGACAAGAAGGGCGCAGCGCAGCGCCCCTCCACGCGGGCTCAGCCCCCGCTGGGCGCACCTCAGTTTCTGTGCTTGCATTTCCTTAATGAATCCTGCTTTTAAAACGTGACTTTTTCAAACTTCAGTGGGGTGTTCGCTTCCTCTCCTTGCCCAGATGTGTTTGCTTCACTGGGTCTCTAGGGAAACAGATAACTTTTCCACCTGTTCAGCCGAGTTCATGGAATACAACTGGCAGAGGAATGTTTCTTCTATAGAATTGAGAGTTAAAGGAAAAGAAATACTCTGAGGTGGGCAGATGATGGATGACTTTGTCCGATATATAGACGTAGCTATGTATAATTTTGATTTTTGCTCTTTTCTAGAACGTAGTGGTTTGATTCCAGAAGACTATACTTTAAAATGATGAACCCTTTGCTCTACCTTAGGTTACCCAAAGCTAACCCTCGGCCTCAAGTACGCCAGTCCATTCATGCTTTGTACTTAAGTCATCCATGTTTTCGCCCGCTGCTTGGTGCAGGTACCTAGACGACTCAGCATTCCATTAAAACATTTTTTTTTGGAAGGAGGTGCTTTAAATAAAACTTGTTAGTTAAAGCCAAGTCTTCCTATAGAGAGGACTACAGAGGACTTCTTTTTAGGACTTAGTCTGCAGTGTTGCTTATGCGGATGGCTGATGCTTAGTGACAGTTGTGCGATGATGTTTGTTTTCCTAGTGGTTACCCTTATCCTTGCCCACTGTTATGAGACAGCGTGATGATAGGAGCTCTCCCCAGAACCTTGAGCCATCATTTGTGTTAAAGTGGTTCTGGCATGTGCAGGCACAGATGAACTTAATTGTTGGTCTTAAATAACTCTGTGCAGCATCAGCCTTTAATCTTCCTACATTACTTGGTATGTTTAGAATAAATCAATATCTAATGAGATAAACGATAGCCAGTGTTCTGGGCATTGCAAACTCACACACACACACAGTTCCCACTGTGATTTTCCATTTTCATACGCCATAAAAGATTATGCAGATGTAATGAAATAAGTCACTTTGGGAATTGGACTAAGTGGCAGGATGAAAGCACGCTTATTCTCCGGTATGCCTCGCGATGGAGAGCTTCACAAAGAAGGGAAAGAGCAGAGCAGGGAATGTAAGGTGGGCCACATGGAGTGGTGCTTCTGATTCTTCACTGGGGAGTGTGCTCGCACACGCACTGACCAACAGACCTGCATTTGCCTTCCATTTGTCACTTGGATTTCTAGCAGATTTTTGATGACAAAGCAAAACGAGGGGAGAAAAAGCCTTCTTCTTTTGAAACTCTGGGAGCAACTTAAGAATCTATAGATAGATGATTCCTCAACTTAAAATGGATTTTTTTAAACCTTGCCATAGTGTGTAATAATTTACTGGTTAACAAGTGATATGAAATATTTACCACTTGATTATGAAATAAACTCAGTTCCATAATTTGCCCAACTATAGGCAAATATGCGTTCTGAGCATTGAACACATTTTTCATATAATGTTTTCAACTTACAGTGTGGTTTTTCTAGGGGTGTGGGGAAAGAGGGGGAACTCCTCTGTAAATGGAAGAAAATCTGTATTTGATTTATAATTTTTTTCAAATCCAAGGTCAATACTTGGGTTTTATATCCTGTTTTGTACTTCTTTCATCTGAGCAAAGTGGCTATGGAGCTGAAGCCTTTATGAAAATCTCATTTCCCCAACACTCAATTTAAACCTAGGGCAATCATCCTGGAGTTTCAGCAGAGCATATAGAGGTCTAGGTATTGATTCTCTGACATTAAATTCAGAGGTACTTAAGACTCTTTCCAATAACATTTTATACTGGATGCTTTTCTGCACAACTTGCCAATATGGCGACTATTTCCCAGTAGTGGGTGAATTGCAAGTAGTCGTAATTAGTTCCAAATAGAAAACATGTATCCACGGTCCCCAAATATCCATGTACAGCATACTTACTTCAGAGTCATCTGTGGGAGTTGAAGAAATGTAGACACTCTTGGAGAGTCTGGACTCTTGCTTGGAGAGTAGATCTAGAATTTGGTTTTGAAGCTGCTTTTCATTTGGCTGGTTTTGAGTTTAAAACATAAAAAAATTAAGGTTCCTCTGATGTAGTGCCAGACTCGGAAATCAGGTCAAGCATAGTTAGATTTCACTAAATATCTAAATTGTATTTGTGCTGGACAGTTCTACATAACTTATGTCTGATGAGTAAGGACAATTATCTGTGAAGTCACTTGAGTGAAATTGTGTAGTCATGTGTGAGCGCTGAACAGTGTTCACAGAGCATTTCATATTACATTCAGATCTATTTTTTCACTTTCTTGTTAATTAATTGCTCAGGTTATAAGTATAGTTATATTTCTTTCTCTTTTTTTCTTTTGGTGGCAATAAGGTTTGAAGGGAAGTAACTTTCTAGGCAGATTCTACCACTTGAACCATACCTCCAGTTCCTTTTGCAAATTTTACTTGTTTTTCAAGTAAGGGCTCACATTTTTCTCTGGCCAGCCTAGATGGTGATCTTCCTACTTGTGGCCTCCAGTCTAGCTGGGATGAGAGGTGTGGACCGCTATAGCCAACTTTTCATTGGTGAGGATGGGGCATCACAACTTTCACCGGGGATGGCCTCCAGCTGCAGACTTCAAGTGTAGTTGAGATCTTAGCTGGTCTTATTTCCTCTTTTGTGCCAAGGATTCCAACTCTGGTTTTAGAAATGTTGGGGTTGGAGGAGTAGCTCAGAGGGTAGAGCACTAGCCAACAGGTGAAAAGGACAGATTTCAAGTTTTAATCCCTGTCTTGGAGATAAAAATAAAAATGTATGCATAGCAATTTAAGTAAAACAGGACTTTCCACGTAGAATGAGCTACGCCTCACACATGAAGAAGTTACAGGAGGAACTTGGAGTGTCTCAGTCATTAGATGACAGTTGTTTTGAAAACAGGATGCCTTTCAGGTCTGAGGAAGTGCTAGCTCAGATGCAGCACAAACACTGTTGTGTTGATCCTCTCACCCAGGGGGTTGATTCTGTATTCAACTGACACCTTTTCCTTGTAACCATTTCACAGGGGCCTTGTCCTACGCAGAGCTGGGAACAAGCATAAAGAAATCTGGTGGCCATTACACATATATTCTGGAGGTCTTTGGCCCTTTACTGGCTTTTGTGCGAGTCTGGGTAGAACTGCTCATCATACGGTAAGAACATGGAATCAAACTAAGACACAGTAAGCCTCTTCCTTTAATCACTCTTCTGAGTCCACATTCTTGACAGCCACATAGGACAGTGTACCTCTGACTGCACAGACACACGGAAGCCAGCGAGGGACCAGAACTTCCCTTTGTTGTAGGGTAGGTTATTAAGTCATTTGACTTTACTCCATTTTTGTGACTAGGAAACGTCTGGGCCAAACAACTTAAGTGTGTCACCGGTCTTAAGATGTATAAAATTGTTTGCATACGACCCATGACTCACTTCCTGACATGAAGCAAATCAGGGAACTACAGCTGTGAAAACCTTTTGATTTTATTGTTGAAGAATGTATTTCCTCTCCTGACTTTCTTGGCATCAAATTGTGCCAAGTCACTCTGAACAGCAAATTTCCTTCCACTTTGAGTAGAACTTACAGTGTCACCTGAGCCCCCGCTCTGCTTGCCTGACCTGTTCTCCAGTGGTGACTTGCACTTTCTGATTACGGAGTTTAAGAGCCATTAGGAGGGGTACTTGCTCCTTCTGGAAACTTCTCAGGCATACACTGCTGAAAGGTTAGGTAAACTTTCATTCATTTAAAGCGAATGAGAAAAGCAGAGGAATTATTTGTTCAGTCACAGTAAATTTTTTTTAAAGAATTTCCTTTTTAGCAAAGAGCTCCAGAGAAGTATATACTTCATTATTAAGTCTGTTCTCATTTTTACAAAGTCTGCATTCATTCAAGACTATAATTAAATCATGATAAAAGAGTTTCTCAAAGATCCCTTTACCTAGGGTATACCCTCTGCTGCTTTTCAATTATCTGAAAATATACTTCAAAGTTTCAGTTATATCTTCCAGCTAATTTCCTATTTATTCTAACTCATGGTAGTTTTTAATTATTAGAACATGTAATCCTTTTTCATTTGACATTGAATATGATACCTTGTGTTTTTACTCAATATTTTAGGTGTCTGTGTACATTGGAAGTATAAGCATTTCATGTACTAATAACTAGGTCTTACACGTCCCATAACCCTTTCCTACCTAGATGAGTATCCTGTGTTATTCTGGGTAAAGGTGATTTTTGGTAAATGATAGAAGGTTATAGTTATCCTGCTACAAATGCAACGGAGTCAGAATTCAAATGAGTGTACTCCTTATTTACAGTGCTGATAGACTATGGAGACCTGGAGTCTGATAGAGTTAGACTTGAATCCGTTTTATCCATGTATTTGTTGTGTGATTAATTGCTCATCATCATCATCATTGCGTTAGCGGTGACAGAGACACGGTACCTGTTCACTCACTTATTTATCCCACACTCTTCTGGTGAACAGTGAACAGTAAGAGAAGGAGAGCGCAACTGGAACCTGACACAATTCTGCTCCCACATAGCTGTTGCCTTACTTCTGAAAGAACTTCCCCATGTTTTGTGTGTGTGTGTGTGTGTGTGAACAAAAAATTCTAGAAGCTTTTTTTTTTGTCAGTTGTGGGGTCTGCACTCATGGCCAGTGCTCTACCACTATGAGTCATTTCTGGTTTTTGAGTGGTTAACTAGAGATAAGAGTCTCACAAGAACTTTTCTGCTCAGGTTGGCTTCAAACTGTGATCCTCAGATCTCAGCCCCTGAGTAGCTAGGCTTATAGACAGAGCCATGGGTGCCAGCCTTAAATTCTAGAAGCTTTTAAAGGTGTCCTATATCCTTTTGTCATATTGGACTCGGGTTTCTGGACTGATTTGTAAATAAGCAGAGTACTAAAGAAACTTAGGAGAGGTAAGCTACCTCAGTACTAACAAGTACTTAAAGATTTATCATCTATTATTAATACCCAGGATACCTAGTACTTTCATTAAAATCATACCATCAGATTACAGTCAGTTTTGCCAGAAATACCTACGTAGCACTTTCCAGAAAAGAAAACAAATCACCACCAGTACATAGGTGGGATCATTAAATTGAACACACAAATTCTCATTAGGTACAGTATAAACTAGTTTTCTACTATGTGGCTGATGCTGAGTAAAACACGGGGGGTGAAAAACTAAACTTTTAAGGGGAAAAAGTCAAATACTGGGAGAACACAGGCAATGCTGGCCATCACAGCCTTGTTCCACGATTATTTAAAAACTGGCCCGTGGTGCTGTATGCAGTCCTTCCTGTGTCTATGCAAGCCTACTTACACACGGTCTTCTGAAAATTGTAGACTCTCACGGTAAATGTGTTCTATAAGCCAAGTAGCATGATTCACAATGGAAAAACATATCGAAAATGATCTTTATTTTTTTCCCGGAACTTAGCCACCTGGTCTGCTGTGTATTTTAGGCCTGCAGCGACCGCTGTGATATCCCTGGCATTTGGACGCTACATCCTGGAACCCTTTTTTATTCATTGTGAGATTCCTGAACTTGCAATCAAGCTCATAACGGCGGTGGGACTAAGTGAGTACCAGAGGTACCAACAGAAGCGTGGGAGGAGGCTCCTCAGGACGCAGTGCTCGCCCCAACCTGTGTTCTTTCTGTTTACAACTCCAACTTTGTGCTGGGAAATACAGACAAAACTCAGACTTGGAGTGGTGGGTGCTGCCAGTGTTTCACTGGGTCAAAAAATACTGTGGCTGCCTCATACACAAAGCCTCCACAGCAGGTAAAACCACTTTGTCAGCAAAATATTAAGTCAATTATACATAAAAGGAGAATCTTAAGGAGGAAAAATCAGCTATTTTTATGGAATTCCTGTTTGAAATGTATCCTTTCTCGGTAACAGGTTGCCTGTGACTCATAGGTGACCGAGGAGTTACGCTTGTGTATTGGGTATGAGATGGTCACCCACTTCCAAGTGTTAGTAGCTACAGTGATCATCGATAGTGTTTTTACTGTCCTTTGTTGGCCTTGATTAGAATCTTCTTTCAAGATTTCACCATTAGTAGCATTTCTCAAGCAGGACATTAATTAATTAATTAATATGATCATTTTACTGTATTGGAGCTTAAACTCAGGGCCTTGCCCTTGTTCGGCTTGCTTGGTTTAGCCTTTTCTGTACCACTTGAGCCCTGCCTCCAGTCTTGCTTGTTGCTGGTTATGGTATAGATGGTATCTCATGGACTTTTCTGTCTTGGTTAACCTCTAATCATGACCCACTCCTTCCAAAGCAGGGAGACATAGCCATGTTGTGCTCAGCTACAAGTGACTATGGGCAACAAATTAGGAAATTAGTTATTTTCGAATAACTTTTTGCACAAAGAGGAAGTAACAACAGAAATATGTGCAAGATACCATGAGGTGAAACTAAATGCGATGGTCACTTCCTAGAAGATTGCAGAACGTCACCAGAGAGGGTTCCAATTCTAGATCGCCATGTAATCTCCGTTTTAAGTTCTAACAACTCCAAAAGAAAGCACGAGGCAGGCACACCTGGTTTCACTGTCACAGCGGGCATTTAGGATGCTATCCCTGGGAGGAAGGACGGAGCAAAGCACTTTCAGCCAGAGGCAGGCACTGTGGCTGCCCGTGGAAAAGCAACAAGAGCCCTGCAACCGGGACATAAATCTGCATTGAAACAGGCCCATCTCAAATGTGATTCATCAAATGGATGCAAAGGAAATGACAATGCAACAGAACTTGCTCCATCTGCTCCTTAGACCTAACACTAAGAATTTCGCTTAGAACAGATGTAGTTAGGAACCCATTATGTTACGGGCCCATAGTGGGTCATATTCCCCTGGGGAGAACCAGTGAGGACTGGAACTAAGTGACTCAGTTATGTGATCTTGGGCTAGTTAAGCCTCTTCAAGCCTCAGTTTTATTTACTGTGTAAGAGGTCTATGAAAAGACAATTTAGCTGGATGACTAGAGAAATATATAATTAAATATTATTTTAAAGATGTTTAACAGTGTCTAGCTCATAGAAAGTTCTTGTCCTGCTGAAGGACTGGACTAACAGCCATATATAGATACATACATACATACATTTTATATATATATGTGAACTCTGGGCCTGGGTGCTATCCCTCAGCTCTTCAGCTCAAGGTGAGCACTCTACCACTTGAGCCACAGCGCCACTTCTGGTTTTCCAGTGGCTTATTGGAGATAAGAGTCTTATGGACTTTTCTGCCTGGGCTGGCTTTGAACCTTGATCCTCAGATCTCAGCCTCCTGAGTAGCTAGGATGACAGGCGTGAGCATTGGGGCCCAGCTAAGGTGTAAAAATTTTAAGAACTCTAAATTACTAGCGGGAGTTATTATGCTATAACCAGAAGTCTTTAAGCAAATCCTATCTGGATGTTTGAAAATCCACCAATTTTGTGAAATTACGTGAGTCAATATAGTGGATTTCTAAATTTTGCCAGTCTAGATAACTTTCTTTTTGTTCCTCCTCCTCCTTCTTTCCTCTTCCTTTTCCCCTTCCTCCTTTTCTTCCTTCTCTTTCTCCTTTTCTTCCCAACCTCCTGATTTCTTCATCTTCTTTCTCCTTTTCCTTTTCCTCTTCTTTTTCCTCTTCTTCTTCCTCTTCTTCCTGCTACCTTTCCTCCTCCTCCTCCTCCTCCTTTTTTTCTGTGGCAGTACTGGGACTTGAATTCAAGGCTTTGCATTGTTCCTTGTCTTTTTCTGCCCAAGGTTGATGCTCTACTGCTTGAGCCAAATCTTCACTTTTGGCTTTTTGCTAGTTAGTTGAAGATAAGAGTCTCTCAGATTTATTATCTGCCTGGCTGGCTCTCATCCACATTCCTCAGTTCTCATCCTCTTGAGCAGCTCGATCCAGTGATTCCTGGCAAGGATTTTCTTATTTATTCCAATTCCATTAAGCATCTTAAAGGGAAACCATATATTTTAGAGGATTACATGGAAATTCTTCAAGGCAAACTTTAAAGTGATATGGACAAGTGATTGGGCTCTCCAAAACATCTTCAGGAAAGATTGACAAAGAGCCCCTGTGAGAATATTTCCATCCATTTTTGTCACTAGTTATAATATTAGCTTATGCATTTGGATGTTTCTTTTATAAGCTTGAGATTCTGATAAGGAAATCTCAGAATCAGAAGCACTGACAGACAAAAAAAGAGAGTATTCTTATAACTCAGTGGGTAGTAATTTAAATCAATGGCCTAATTGGCAAAGTCAACCTGTCTTTAAGAAGAATTTAGCTTTAATGGAGGCACCAGGAGTGAGAGGTAGAGATAAAGGAAGAGAGAGAAGTCTACCTGGGGGGCAAATCCCTCACATACTTTATTTTTCAAAGTGACTATAGGTGATTTTCCACCTGCTAGGGATGGAAGGGTACTGAGATGTAGAAAACAGTTTAATTGCATGAATTGCTTCCCTGTGCTCCTGGAGGGAGCTGGGGAGTTTCACATCTCTAGTTAAGTGTGGAAAAAGGTCAAACCCCAGGGTCTTCCTACATCACAGAAAAGTGAGTTGCAAACTTGTGAGATATTAACCAGCCATTGGAGAAGTGATGAAGGGGTGAAAAGTTATCTAAATGCTAATTTATCCTCATTTTTTAAGTACTCCACTTCAGCCAAATAATCAAGATTAAATGATTCTGCTTATCCCAAATCCCCCTGTTTCTGTAAGAACACCAGCAGGTGGAGTTTTAATGGAAAATCTGGTGTGTCCACTCATACGTAGCGGCTCTGACCCTGCCCTGTGCTGGCGTTGATCTTCTCCTTCCCGGACAGGTGCATGGATTTCCTCTGCTTGCATAGTTTTGGTGAATATTAAAGCAGGTTCATATTTAAAACATCTAGCCTGTTGTTCTGGTCTCCTGAATCTAGGCCCTCTGGAAACATACCTTTCATGGTACGATATTATCATAAGAATACTTCTTTTTTTTTTTTTAATGGAGATTCCCTGAGTCTCCATTCCTTTGCTAGTTTATTTTGTGTAGGTAAGTTAAGAGCTGCATACAACTTCTTAAACCTTTTGGGAGTCATCATGAGGAACAAACAAATAACAGTTGTATCGCTTGGTGAAAAACAGCTTGTGCTACACTACTCCATTTTCTTTTTGAAAGCCAGGTTTTTCAAATATGGTATGTGGATATGGGTTAGCTCTAAGTCTGAAGTTTTTGTATACTTATCCTACCATACTTAAATACCAACCCAACCAACTCATAGGTAGATACATGTAGTAGTGTCATGTACAAATTTGGTAGAACAGTCATAATCTACAAGAGGACAATCAATCAAATGTGGAAGTAAAGTGTTCCTCCATCCCAGCTAAGATAATCACAGGCCTTTACAGAGAGAGAGAAGCAGCACACATTGCAAACCACTGGATTTGCTGTGGGATCGTCTCTGCATCTTTGGAGCTGGCCCCTCGTGCTCAGCATTCTCTTACCTAGGTCCCAATCTTATCTTTCCATTTACAGCCTGTGTGTACATAAGCAAGTTAAACACTGCCTGGAGTTACAGCTGCTTATCTGAAAACTAAGACCAATAATAGTAAGCATGTCACAGAGATAGGAGGATTAAGTAACATTATCCATGTTAAGTATTTGCACAACAACTGCCACAAAAATAATAGTTTGTGCTTATTTAATGCCTACCATTTTTATTCCCACTAGTGAGATTGTAGATACAGACTGCTTCTTAAAGGTGTTTATTTCTACACATCCTCTCTAAGATGAATGCATCCAGGAAAGAAATGCTAGCGGAGAGATAAAGGGAGCCTAGCACATATTACAAAAAGTGGTGGAACCATTCCTTCTATCGCAGCTCAGACATGCGTGGGGAGTGTCTATCATTCATCACGTTAGCATGAAGCAGTCAGAAGCCAGAAGCCAAAGGACCCTGCACCGCAGAGAAAACCCAATATATCTAGACTCTGTAATCTCTCTCTTCAAAACCAAAGATGGACTTGAAATATGGAGAGTGCAGAAGGAAATGCTCTCCAGTCTTTAAATCACAGAATCGCCCCTCACAGGCCCCCAAACATCCACCTTGAGTACAGCTCCCTTCACATGTGTATTTCTTATCTCCGGGATTTATAGATATAGTTTTCATTGCTGCATTTCAGTTCTCAGGAAAGTGTATCATAAATAAGCTGAATAAAGACTCTGTGTCCTCGTGTGTTCATCTTGGTGAAAATTTGAGGCAAGCAAAATAAATAAGTAGCCTGATCGGACGTAATTAGTTCCTCATGTGTGAAATTAGCAATTACTCAAAGGAAGTAAAACTAAGACCTGAAGAGCTGTCTCAGAGGGCTTTTATTGTTACAGTCTGGGAACTGATATTATCTGAGGTGTACACACACGCACGCACACACACACACACATACACATACATCTTAAAAAGGTAGATATTGTTTATTTCAGAAACTCAAGAAAGCTCTTGCATTTAGTGGATCCCAAATCCCTTTTTCATATTGTTGTCCAAGTGACATAGACAGCGTAAAATCCGCTGTGCAGACCAGTGATGAGCTGCAGTTCCAGCCCCGGGAGAAGCTGCCTGTCTTGGGTGCAGGCTGCCCTGTGCTTGGGTGTGGGCTTCCCCGCTTCTTGGTAAGCTGTACCTTTGGGCTCATCGAGGCACAGCTCAGCTGGGATGTGTGTAATGAGCAGCCTTCTGGGATGCTTTGATATAACAAGACCTTTGATTCTCACTCTTGGGGGAGAAGATGAGTTGGTTGTGTCACCCACTGGCTGGCAGAACTTTAGGAGGTATGATATAACTCCCTCCTCTTGATCGCAGCGGTGGTGATGGTCCTCAACAGCACGAGCGTCAGCTGGAGTGCTCGGATCCAGATTCTCCTCACCTTCTGCAAGCTCATGGCTATTCTGATCATTATAGTCCCCGGAGTGGTGCAGTTAATTAAAGGTAAGGACTCTGGTCATTATAGTCACCGGAGTGATGCAGTTAATTAAAGGTAAGGAGTGAAAAGGAAATGTCCTTAAAAATACAGATCTGCATTTGGCCTATTGTACCACTCAGTTTTGCTGGTGCAGCAGATTACTTAATTAGTCTCAGCATGTGGGACTTAAAAAACTGGAGACTGTCACCTAATTGATCTGAAAGGCTGCCACACTGGCGTGACTTGGTATTTACAGTGGAATGGTGACAAGAGGACCAGGCCAGCTCAAGCAAGACAAGATGGCATCGGTGGATTCTTTAGGCATAAGATTGCTTGGCGGGAAGCCCAAAGTGAAAAGAAAAAATAATCTGAAGTTTAGTGTTAGCTTCCTATGAGCAAATCCTTTTAGGCGTTACTTTGAGCTTCCTCAATAATAGTAAAAAAAATCAAATCGATTTCTAGAAAATAATAAAGGATGACTCATAATACTAGTTTTTGAATTAGAATTAATTTTATCTTCCTGGGCACTGGTACCACAAGTCTTGTAATCCTAGCTACTCAGGAAGCTCGCATCTGAGGATTATGGTTTGAAGGGAGCTTGAGCAGAAAAATTCCCAAGTAGTTATCAAAAAGCTGGAAGTATTGGTATGGCTCAAGTGGTAGAGTGCCAGCCCTGAGTGAAAAAGATGAGGAAGAGCACAAAGCCCTGACTTCAAGCCCCAGTACTGGCGTTAACAAAAAACAAAAACAAAAAAAACAAAGAGAGAGAAGAGAGTTGGAGAATTTCATTTTTCTTGAGAGAGAGGATCCCAGGGAAAGACATTAGATCTAGAAACAGCATTTCTAAAAATACTTATATGATCATTGAAATAGTTCTCCAAACTTCACTTTTTATTTTTACATGATTTTCCATGTAAAATGTGCATTTCGAAAGAAATCATTTCTGACGTGACTTGCCTTCATCTGCTATGTAATAAGAAAAGAAGTCTGGGGGTTTGTCAGTTAGAATTTCAATTGTTATAGAGAGGAAGGTACATCAGTTGTTTCGATTCTGTGGAAATGGTTGGAAGAGAAGATGGTACACCAGGGTTATTTAACCTGTGCCAGGCACTGGAGCAGAAAATAAAAGACAAAACTGTGAAGAGGTGCCATATAACTTGAGCATGTTAAGTATTTAATGTTTACATTGATAATGTCTGTTCCAAGAAGGGTAATTTATAGAGAAATGTAATGACGTTGCTGGAGAAGAATTATAACAAGGCAAAAGAGAATGCCAGTGTTCAACGAAATCATTCCTATTGGTTGAGGCATGAAACAATAACAGACAAGGAGAGCCTGGTCACTCTGCACCTGGAACCGAGCAGCGGCTGTCCATTTTATAAGCCCGAGGGAGCTCTTGGAGCCCTGCCTGCCAAGTGCTTTCATCAAATCCGGCAACCTCAGCCAGCTCTGGAAAACACAATGAAGATCTTTGAACATTAAGCTTACAGTGACGGGAAGCAAACTTGTTCTTCTCCACAGACCTGGCCTTCTCACCTTTGATCTCTTCTTCTATTGCAAATACAGGCCAAACCAATCTGTTTTGTTGGTACCCTCCTTTTCTCAGCCCTTTTGTCTTTGAAGAGGACTTCCAGAGTATAGGGTCTCCGAACCACTGGCCCGCCTCTGCTCTTGATTTATGTTCCTAGTTTTGAGAATCTATACTATTCCTTTAAGCTAAGATTCATTTTCCTGGCTCCTCTTTCTGGTATAATCAGACATAGTACGATAGGTAGATTTATAGTCCATAGCCATTTTATGTCACTAACACAATGTGTGTGTGAGGTAGGGTTTGTTTACTCAGACATTGCTTTCTTCTGAGTTCTTTGAGAGTAGAGTTCATGATAGAATGCTTAGATTCTTCTTGTCAGTTACAGAAGAGTGATATTTAGTATTATTGACCTCAATGGTTAACATTACCAGGTTTCTTACTTCTCATCTAATAAAATGGTGCCCTGGAAATGAGATCGCATTTAAAGTAGTTTGAATATCTTGGAGAGCATTCTTAGTGGATCTATTTGCTTTATTGATAACAAAACAATCATTTTCCTTAATTGTGACACAATCATCTATTTTCCATGTGAATCTGAGACTCTGGAAGGATGAAGCCTTCAGTAATGCACAATGTGCATTTATCCCTACTCCATTCAGACAGTTGAGTGTCTTCACGTGTGAGGAGTTGTTGAACTTTCCTTTGAATGTTGAAACTTTCATCTTCTGAGACATCTATGTTGCAGCCAAAATATTCCTTAAGTTTAGAAACAAAGCACCTCTTTTTGTAACACCCTCAAAAGAGCACTTTTGAAGTTCTGTGCTTATGACTCAGGCTTTATAGATTGTTTTCATTGATTATTCATAATTGCACTCTGAGGAACATTGTCTCCGGAGTCTAAGGAAACCGCGGGTCATGATAAAAGCATGCCCAGATGTGTGTTCATCTGGATCCCAGTATTTGTGTTTTCCTTCTATGAAGATGTGGAGATGTTTTAGTAACATGGACATTTCTAAATCACCCCACCACTTTTTAACAATGAACTATGCTTGAAAAGTGGGTACTTGAAGGGAAATTCAGTCCATGTAAAACTGAATGTTCTCTATGTAGAGCAGCCATTTGCAGACTCCATCACGGAGGGCTGTGCCTGGCAAGGCGGGTCTAGGGAGGATTTCCCTCCTCCGCCTCCTTTACTTACACAAGACAGATTTTGAAGCAAAATCATTTCTGGTTTGGATATTTTCATTTGCTGTTTTCTTTGGGAAAACGTGATTTTTAAAAAGTTTGATTGTAAATACTGCCTAAAGCAAATCTTAATTTCTAGCTTTTTAAACTATCCAAAACATATACTATATATAGTATATATATATGTATATACATACATATATATGTATGTATATATATGTACTATATATCTATATAGTATATATGTGTATATATACATATATAGTATATACATATATATGTATACACTATATATACCTATATATACACATATATACTATATGTGCTATATTTGTATATGTGTATATATAGTATAGATACACACACACACACACACACACACACACACACACACACACACATATACTTCCCTTCACAAAATAGGGGAAAATGTTAGGCATAAAAGTGTTCTATTCCCTTCATGCAAAATCTGTCCAAACTTGGTTTGGAATTCAGCAGGATCTTGGTTTGGATTCAGCAGGATTCAGATGAATGCTGGCATTTATCATGACAGGGTAGAGGGCTTCTGTGTTGAGGCTCATTAGTAAATATTTCCCAGCGCTGTGGGCACTGTGGTCCCCTGGTCCTGGTTGAGGTCAGTCACCAGCACCATGTGCCGATGGCTGCAGTGCAGGGATACTTTACTTCCCAAGGGACTTATGGATTTGGGGGTTCAGTTTGATCTGCAGGGTTTTCAGATCCCTGCTCTAGGAGACAGGGGCCTAATGCAACACAAGGGATTATTGTAACAGAAGGCAGAAACAAACCATTTTGGAAGTTAGTTCTGGAGTCTTTGGTATTTCATCATCAAAAGTAGACCCTTGATGTTTGTGTGCATCTTTTGTATTTTTTAAAGCAAGCCATACACTTTCTTCCCCAACTCTACCATTCTTTCAAACTACAGTTTACAGAAAATCTTTCAGTCTTCTTTCATGTTCAAAAGAGAAGCACACTCCAGCCAGAGATTGTGTCTTTTAAAAAGCCACTTTCATCTTGGATTTCACTATATTATTGAGGAGAAATGTGATAAATGTGGATGGTGATCAGAGGACTTTTGGGGTCCAGTATTAACAGATGAAACTCTAGAGAGTGACCAGTATTCATAGATAAAACTGGCTATGAGCTGACAGTAAGAAGTCCAGACATGAAACAACATGGCTGGCTCCCCACTTTCATGTTTATGATTGGAGTACATAAGAAGTAGTTCCCTGGAAAGCTGTAAAATCTTTCTATTCTAATTGCAGGGCACACACAGCACTTCAAAGATGCCTTTTCAGGAAGAGATGCAAGCATCATGGGCTTGCCCCTGGCTTTTTATTATGGAATGTATGCGTATGCTGGCTGGTAAGTTGACAGCTCCAGAGACTTTAAACAATTATGGTTTCCTCCTGCTAACCCATCTCTGTTGAAGGAATTCAGGTATGGCCCTGGTATGGAGTGAGGAGAAGTCTCACAGCTATCTGCTGCTACCATATGGTCTGTCAAAGAAGATCAGAGAATTTATGGCCAGATCCTTATGCAGAGAGGCCAGAGAAAGTTCAGTAAATATTTCTAGTTTTTATGACTTGCTTTGGGGGAAAGAAGGGTCAGTGGGGCTCCTTGGAGAAGAGCAGTTTTGGTTTCCAGGGCTTGCTTTGGGTGGAAAAAGGGTACAAGATGAAGAAGGTAGAACAAGTCAGACCCACCCCTCCTCTGAGGCCTTCCTCTGGCCTTCCATTCCCAGGACTCTGTATGACCTGGTCCTACGGTTGGGATGGTCGTTTCTGTGAACCCAACATAGGTCACTATCACACGAAAAAACCCCAAACATGCTTGGTCTAAGAAGCCAGGGTAGACTGCGCGTGAACAACACGGTGATAGGAGATACAAGAGATTAGTAGTTGGGTGAGAGTACTTACAGTGATTAATACTTTTTTTTTTCTACATTCCTGTGAGAAGCAAGTGATTCACATACAGAAATAAGATATTTCTGAGAGGTTAAAATAATGCTTCAAGGGTAGAAAAGAAGAAACCAAGATAATACACTCATCTGTATCAATATATCAACTTTTTACTCTGCGTCTGGCTTTTTTGGTAGTTTAGTGGAGATAAGAGTCTCACAGACTTTCTTGTCTGGGCTGGCTTTGAACCGATATCCGCAGGTCTCAGTCTCCTGCGTGGCTAGGATTATAGGCATGTTATGTTACATTGTAAAGGAAATAGTAAGTTCCTTGAAACTTCTCCAATACCTGAAGATAAAATATATGTACCAAAGCTGTTCCCAAAGCTGATCCATTGCCTGTCATGCATGTCTATCTGTGAAGCCTTTCTGTCTTGGTTAAGTTCTCAGAACTTCATATTTCCATCTTACTTTGTTGAAGTACTTAACTGGCAATAATTGTAGATAATAGCTAAACTTGTCTTAGCTAAATTTTATTGACTCTGTGAGGGTAAGTTGAATTCTAGTGCAGTAGGTGCAAAAGTATTCCTTAAAACATGAAAATCCTCGTGATAAGATTCATTTGTTTTGAGTCAAAAATGGTCCTATTTATTTTTATTGTTTCTAAAACTTAGACAACTTGAGCTGTGAGAATGTTCTGTGTGAGACTAAAAAATAACATCAGAAAACTTCACTAGCTCAACACTTACATAAACATCTTACTGGAAGAATCTCAGGGTGTCACACCAAAAAGGAGAGTCTTAGTGGGTGTAAGTCTTTTTGTTTTTGTTTTTGTGGATTTATTTTTTAAAGCTAGGATTTCTTTTAGAATAACAGGGTTAAAGTAGGGAGAAAGGGAAAAGAGAGGAGCATTTCTAGATCCCCAATACAGGAAGAGATTGGAAATGGCTGCTGTGTTTTCTGCCCTTACTCTTTCTTTTTTTTTTTTTTTTGGTCCGGTAATGGGGCCTGAACTCTGGGCCTGGGCGCTGTCCCTCAGCTCTTCAGCTCAAGGCTAGTGCTCTACCACTTGAGCCACAGCGCCACTTCCGGCTTTTTTCTTTTTGCTTATGTGGTGCTGAGGAATCGAACCCAGGGTCTCAGGCATGCAAGGCAAGCGCTCTACCACTGAGCCACCTTCCCAGCCCTGCCCTTACTCTTTCTGAACTGGGGAAAGGCAGGTCGTCAAGTCGGTAATGCCAGCCACCGTCTGATGGATGGGGTCTGGCTGAGGCGTGTGTGAAGCCCACCCAAAGCACAGGTCGCTTCAGGGCATCTTTTCTCCAGACATACCTTTCAGTCTTTCCGTCTTCACCCATCAGTGAGCAGTTCTTTGAAGGCAGATTCACCCCTCGGTAGCTCCAGTCTTCTAACCGATGATGGAAAGAGTGAATCTGCCTTTTCAGCTAACTTCTTGTTCTTCACTGCTGAGTCTGGCCCCTTTCGATAATATAAAAAATACTAAATATAATTCCTTTGTCTCCTTGTCTATCTATCCTGCTTCAAATGCATTTCTGAAATGCATAATTTCCTTTGATTCTTTTAGAAAAGAAATGATATATTTCAAAATAAATGGAGTTGGTGTCCTAATGAATCTCACTGAATCTTGCAAATATAGAATTACAAGAGAATTAGGAGAGAATATAAAGTTTTGATGCATAATGTTTGGAGATGATACCTCTAAAAAAGGTCTGTGCAGAATATTTGTATATTCCCAGAACATTTTTACAGCCATTGTGTGTAAGCATTGCCTTTGAATCACTCAATTTTTTTGAAGTCTTTTTACTTCAGTCCAAAGCACAATGAAATGCTAGACAGAGAAAAGCACTGTGTGTGATCTCAGGTTAGAACAGATTTAACTCTTCTTGTCTCTTCAGCTTGGGTCAGGGCTCTAAGGCCTGGAGCAAGGGTTCTGGATCTGTGAGGGGGAGGGACAAAGGCTCTCCTTCCCTGCACCTGCCCAGCAAGAACTCTTGGAAGGTTCCATCAGCAGTGGGAGATTTGAGTAATTCTGTAGGATGAAGCTTTTTGCTTAAATCTTTTTTCTTTTTCTTTTTTTTTGCCTGTGAGCACCAATGCATCTGTTCTCATGAATCTGCACGTATTTCTACCCTTTCCACTTCCCCATCACCCAGCACTGAGGATTTACATCACCTGTTTCTCCACAAGTTTCTCCACTTTGGAGGCTGTGGAGGGCTGGTAGATTCCACCGTGCATAAGGACTCTTTTCATTCTGAATTATCTTGTTAATATTGGATTTTACTGATATTGAGCCTTGAAGGTGACTGTTTACAAGGTGAATGAGGTGTGTGTATGTGTGTGACAGAAAGAGCAAGTGAAAGAGAGAGAGAGGGAGAGAGAGGGAGAGAGAGGGAGAGAGAGGGGGGAGAGAGAGAGGGAGAGAGGAGAGAGGGGAGAGAGAGAGAGCACAAACCCTGGTAATGGTCATGTCTGCAAGATGCCATTGATTTTCTCACATCCTTGAGGGCTCAATCTCCACTGTGGGATGTGAGTCCTCCGTTTGACATGGAATGCTATGGACATGAGCAGTGCATGCTGGGACAGATGTGTAACTGCTAGGCAGGGCTCCTGTGCTACCTGCGTGCTCCCTTGGGAGGGAGCTCCTGGATTTGTACCTGCCAGGCTTAGCTCAGGACAGCTGTGTGGAGCAGAGTGGATTGATTTGGACTGCAGAGGATGGGTTATCATCCGGATGTGAATGGACCATCGTGGAGGCCAAAGCGATTCCCAAAGAGAGGGTCAGCTTACCTTCTTTGCGTCTCTGACTGCTCCATCTTTCCTGATGTCATGAGAGGACTAGGTTGTAGAGTGACAGATGGAGGGTACGAATGAGTCACCACTCCCTCCACTGCTGCTAGGACAGAGACAAAGAATAAAGAAGGAAACAGAGACCGAGGGGCTGCCGGGAGAGGGGCAGCAGCCGGGCAGCTGCCGTGATCGGAGCTCACGGGCTCGCGGTGTCCATCCAGAGGCACGCAGCAGGACCACCGTTGTCTTGGACACATTGCTCCATGAACAACCCAACTCCTACGGTTGAACAGGAAAAAAAAAAGCAGTGAACCAGGGGATGCTGAGCACTGTCAGCTTTTGGCTCTGAGGAATGAAGGACCTTCCAGAACCATGGAAACCCCTTCCCAGAGATACAATTAGGGGAAAAGACATCATTAGACAAGCCAGACCATGGCGTTAGTTAGGTCAGCACAGCTTTCATGTGATTGCCCATGTTCCGCCAGGCCTGGATGCGGCTGGGAGACCACAGCCAATCTCAATCCCATGGCTAATGACTGCTTGGTGAGATTCTTATTTTAACCTGTGTGATAGAGACAATGGTTTTCCGTGTCTTTCTTCCCCTCCCTTTGAAGTCTTATCCTCCACGGATTTAGTCTTGCTAAAGGGCCTGCTGGGATTATTTTGTACCATTTCTTTGTGCCGAATGTAAAGAATAAGATTCTTTTTCCAAGCCAGCCTCATGGCGTGGCGGGCATCGCAGGGCCTTTTTTCGTGCACAGTGGTGGAGAGGCAGAGCGTCTGGGTCTCTGCATGATCTTCAGGGCCTTGTGGAAATGGGCTCCACAGAGTGGGTGGTTCACAGTGCTGGAGGCCCAGAGGCTCAGGCAGAGGTGGCCTCCCACAGGACACCAGCGTCTGCAGAAAACAAGCGCTTCCTCCTCCTCTCCCCACTGCCCAGGCCCTGGCCTGGCCTCTGGCCTCTGAGGTCAGGGACATATTTGAAGTTATTATTATTATTATTATTAAGCCTGGGAAGGTGGCTCAGTGGTAGAGTGCTGGCCTCATGCGCCCTGGGTTCGATTCCTTAGCACCACATAAGCAGAAAAGGCTGGAAGTGGCGCTGTGCTCAAGTGGTAGAGCGCTAGCTTTGAGCTGAAGAGCTGAGGGACAGTGCCTAGGCCTAGAGTTCAGGCCCCATGACCAACAACAACAAAAATTAATTATTTCCCTTTTTGTTTTAGACTTGCTATAAAAGATTCATTTCTAAAACAACTGTTAAGAAGGAACTGGCAATACGCATAAGAAGCCTAGAGATATTCTTAAGGTCTCTCTCTGTTTTGGTTTTGGTGGGAGTTTCTATTTATTTATTTGCCTATTCCTATTTGTCTATACTTTGATTTGCCTCAGGATTATAACCAACACATCAAGGCTTTCTCAAAGAATGCATCTCACATACAGTTACCTACTGTTGCTTGCTCTTCTAAATAACAATCATCTCTTTTTTTTTTTTTTGGAGCTTAACTTTCTAGTCATTAAAAGAAATCATTGGCTGCAAACTTTTAATATTATCCTCCTGGATACAGCGTTTTCAGCATTTCAGATGAACATAGCCCTTGAGATTGTAGACCTCTTAATCCTGACCATCAGATATACTGGTGAAGGAGCATCTGTTATTTTTTAACCACCTCTTCATTCGTTACCACCCCTGGAGGCTGTGAGCCCGTTTACATGTATTACAGGCTGAAGGGCTGATATTCTAGACATTTGGTTTTGGAGTGTGGAGAAATTCTTCCTGTGCCTGTGTGCTCCTGTTTACCTATGTATTATTATACCTGGTTATTATAGCTGAGCACTCTGGCTCACGCCTGTCATCCTAGCTACTCAGGAGGTTGAGATCATGGTTTGAAGCCAGCCCAGTCAGGGAAGTTCTTGAGACTCTTATCTCCAATTAACCAGCAAAAAGCTGGAAGTAGAAGTATGACTTAAATAGTTAGACTGCTAGCCTTAAAGGAAAAACCCAAGTGAAATTGTGAGGCTCTGATTTCAAGCTTCTCCAGTACCAACAGCCCCCCACACCCCCCATGGTATTGTCTTTGATCTTTGAAGGAGTAACAACAGGAAGTCCTAGTGAAAATGTGGCTTATTGTGTGAAAATTTCCTAAGCCTATGAAATGCAGGAGTAGCAAGTCCTTTTTCTCGATATGTTTAGCTTTTTCCATAATGGTCCCATGGTTTTCTCATTTTTGTGATCCACTTATCCATCCATGCTTCTTTAAAGATGGAATTGGCAGTAACCTTGCATTGTGGAGACATGAGTCAGAACCACACAGATGTTAGCCTTCCAGTGTCCCCTTCAGACTGGACAGGGGATGCAAGCTGCTGGGCCTCCAGCCCCATGGGGGTGGTCAAGTCCCCAGTTCAGGAGAGGAACCAGAATTCCCCAGAGCCCAGACCTTGCCTGACATTAGAGGAGGCTTTCAATTCCATGGGCCATGTTCTGTGCCCAGAATGTTTCCTGCCATGTAAAAGACAGGTAAAGTGCTATGAATCTGAGAAATCTCCACATTGTCGTGGTTTTTAATCATCCATTTATGGTGCAATGTGCCAAAAATTGACAGTCTCAATAGACAGGAATGAGAAATGATTACTTAGTCTTGGGAGTTGAAGTTATTGGGGATGAATGTCAGAGAACGGTGACCTGAAAGGAACAGGTGTGAACTGAGCGTTTGCCATCTTTTTAAATTTTTTGTTATAACTAGATAAATTAGAGCTGAATATATTTATAAGGGCTCCCAGAGTGATGTGGTGATTTACGAGTACAGTGTGGAAGAATTTAACTTCTTAAAATATCCATTGTCAGAAACCCTTAGTGGGTAGAAGATTTGAAATTCAATCTTGGTAATTTTGAACTGTGCATTATTAATGTCATTTATTTTTACTTCTTGTATACTGTGTTTTTGTCTAAGAAACCGGTAAGTCTCCTTAAATTGGGAAACACTGCTGCACACATCATAGCACTGTAAGATTTGGGGTTATTTTGCTGTCAGAGGCTCACCCTTGCTTAGCTTGCTTGTTTAGCTGGCGTTCTGCCCCTTGAGCTGTGCCTTCAATGCTACTCTCTGCCAGTTATTTTAGAGAGGGAGTCTTAACAGGCATTTCTGTCTGAATTGGCTTTGGACTTCAATTTTCCTAATCTCGGCCACCTGAGTAGCCAGAATTAGAGGCAGGAGCCTCTGGAACTGGCATTATACTACAGCAAGTTTTCTTATTTTATAAAAAGAAAACAACTTATCTTTCAATAGTTGTACAAAGCAGCTTGGATTCCACATGTCAGCTCATAGGTACAATGTGTCTTGATGAGTGTCACAAGTCCATCCTTCTCCCCGTCTCTGCCACCCTCTCCCCCCCGCCCCCAAGTCTGCATTGACTCTTAGGACTGTGTTTGCTCTCATTTCCTCTCTGCTTTGTCTGTCTGTCCTCCTTCCCTTTGACCTCCCCCCCCAACTACATCTTTTTACCTGTTTGTCTCTACTTCTGAAGTCACAGGAGGCAAAGTTTGCTTTGCACTGCATCTGTCTTCCTTTTCTCCCCATGATACCATCCTACAGAACCCTAACCTCTTCTCCTCTCCCCATGCGTAATCTTTCTGCCTTGTTTCTGCACTGTTGGGGGCTCATCCTGGAATGACTCCATGCTGCTGGCCCCTGCTGGGTGTTCAGCATCTCAAAGGCCCCCAGGGGGGAGAGATGCCACCCAGGAGACCTCCCTTCATCCGCAGGGGGGCACCTGACTACCCCCCCCCCTGCCCCTGCCGCACACCTGCGCCAGCACCTCCTTCTCACACCACGCTGTGCCACTCCATGACCCCTGAGCTCTGTCCTGCGCACAGAGCCCCTGGCTCTGGTAGATCTTAGGCACTGCACGAACAGGGTTCAATGAAAATGATGTGTGGGCATTTTCAGTTGTGAGATGTTTTCTTATTACAAGTGTTTTAACGTATTCTGAGTTCAATATTAAATACCATAATGTGAAACTTTGGTTTTCTGTCATCAATATGTGTTACTTATTGGTCATCCATTTATATATTTTTAGGTTTTACCTCAATTTTGTTACTGAAGAAGTAGAAAATCCTGAAAAGTAAGTAAACATATTGAGCCTGAATTTTTAAAAAAAATTGGAATCTTGTAGAATTATCTTTAAGTAGTTGCACTGGGGTTTGACCTTCAGGTATGAGCACAAAGCATCTTGACCATTGTCACCCTTCAGTCAGTGCCCACTCTGTCCCCAGTGTCCCGTCCCCCACCATGGCCTCATGCTACCTGCGAAACTTGAAAGACCCAAGGAAAAGCCATGTGAGATTCCATGGTGGAACACGCAGAGTTAAAAAGGGAATTCACTGTGGGCCAGTTAACTTTATCATCATTGTCATTACTATTATTCTCTTAAGATAAGGTGTATTTGATTTTATAACAAATTATATATAACTAATTGCATATTACATATGAAATCACCTTAAAACCTGAAAGCTAGCAAGAATAATGTTATATTTTCAGTCAATTGTCTCACCTAAACATGCGCAGATTCTCAGTTTCCAGTACAACTTGAAGCTCAGAAGTACATTATTCCAAATAATGCATGCACATTTAAAAGTTTGACTAAAGAAGATAATAATCAGGTAAATATTAGTTACAAAAGCTTGGAAAGAACTACAGAATGTTCTAGGAACTTTTAAAATTAAAGGATGACGAATTTTGTAGTTTCTTCCTAAATAACAATTTGAAAATTAGATTGTTTGATGATAACGTGTATGTTCCTAAAATGGACTAAGAAAAAAATGAAACTCTTTATGCCTTTGGCGTAAATGGTAGATTTTCTACAGAAAAGCAACATTAAGATACACTGGTTAGGAGGGGGCATTGACCACCTACAATATAAAAGAAAAACATCTAAGGTTATCAACTCATTTCACTTCTGTTTAGCATCATCCCTATACCAACAACTGTGTCAGGAGCATTTTGCATGATGAATGAGTCCTACCCTCTGTCAGATGAGGGGAAAAAAAAGTAAAAGTATGATCAGCACCAGAGCAGATGACTTAGTCAGCTGGGCAGAATAGAAATTAGAAGCACTTGACTCTATTTAGGAAGACATTGCTTACACCTGACTGAATAAGAGTGGGTGAGTGAGTGTTCCCCTAGCAGATTGATAGAGGAAAGGGATGGGGCAGGAAGGAGATGGAGGAGAGAAAGAGGTTGACTTGATTTCTAGGAAAAGGATCTAGCACATAAGCGTGGGTATAGGCTGCACATAGGAGAATATGCCTAAGGGTTGACAACAAATGAAGCTGAGTCAGGTGTCCTGGCCTGGGTGTGTCTGGGGGGCAGGAGGCTGCGGGGCCAGCGTATCACGTGGTAGAGAACAGCCACAGGAGAGGATGTGGAAATGAGGATTCATGGTACCTGGCTCAGCTGCTATGCAAATCAATATGCAATTTCAACATAGACAACGCTGTTTTATTAAGAAACATGACCCACATATAACAGTATTGTCATATCTGTTACTGGAACTGGAGGCAGAGAACACATATGTACCAGGAACTAGTTCTCCCATTTCTTGGAAATGATAAGCTCCTTCAGGACTGTAAACCCACTGATTATAAAGACAGATAGACTGGCCTGTGCTTTGTGCCTTTTAGAATAGTTAGTGTATAAGTGGCAACACAGAGATGTGGCAACTCTTAGGGCATTTTATATAAAAATTTTATTGAATTTCCATTATGTAAAAAACATAATTATGGTTTCTGGCCATCACTTTTAAATCTAAAATCATCTTAAATCATCTTAGGCTCTCCTCGCTCCCATTTCCTAGATTTATTTCCCCCTCCCTTTGTGTATTTTGGTAGTGGCAGGGCATTTAATTTCTTCATTTTTTTCAAACTGATGATGCCAGTGGTTCATAGTCTATACATATTAAGGAAGAATAATGTTGATGTAGTGATTTGGTGTGATTGGTCTGTTTTTTTTTCCTGTTGCAAATAATTTTTCTTATTTCAAAAGATGGAAATAGCAACACACAGGCATCACTTGATTGTGTGGATGAATTAATATCAATAGAGAATTTAGAAGGTAGGTGCTGATAGCTCAACGCTGTGATCCTAGCTGCTCAGGAGGTTGAGATCTGAGGATTGTAGTTCAAAGCCAGCCTGGGTAGAAAAGTCCTTTCTTATCCCAAGCTGGCAGGGAAGGGTGACCCTCAGATCTCAGCCTTCTGAGTACCAAGGATTAAAGTTGTGTGGCACTGGTGCCTGACAGGAACTTTCAGATTTTAGAGGCTGGTGTAATGAGTTATAGCAAACACAGGTTGAAGAAAGGTTTGATAGCTTTAAATCCTTCACTCCAGCTCTTCAGATTGTCAGTTCTCATATGAAAGACTTGGTGTAAAAATTAACTCAACACATTTATTTTCTCAAAATTAAAATATAAGAAAAGCTACACCATCACCTTAGTGCACAGTACAGGTAGTTGTGATATATTTATCATAAAAGTAACTTAGAGTTTTGAGTAACTTCATTATTCTTTGTTTTTTGTTAAACATAACTTCCCCTGGCCACGTTAATGATCAAGTTAGGTCTTTTTAGTAAAACACAGGAATTCTTTGGGAAACATTAGGGTTGCATATCAAGAACAGATGGTTCAATTATGTAGATCCCGTCAGGATGCGTCATTTTTGTCATTTTGTAGACAGACAAGGCTCCAAAATACCCATAGTTACAAGGGAGGATAATTCTGTTTCCATCTTTCTTGTGATGTGCCAAGGTGAACGTGTTTCCCAATCAGTCACGGGCATGTGTCCAGCTGTACCAGAACGGGCAACTATTTGGCAGCTGGTGAAATGAATCACCAGCCAAAGATACAACACCTTTTACCACCCTCCTCCATGGAGGCAGTAAAAGTTTCCTGCTGTTGTGATCTAATGGAAGAAGTGATAATTAATTTAGGTCGGTGAGAATAGTAATGTGATCTGAAGTAAGATAGAGTGCAGAGAGCAGTTTTCTCATCTCGCTTGACTGCCCTTCACGTGGTATTTCATTTTGAGAAGTGTTTTGGATTACATAACATTAGTCTATGAAAATTGTCTGATCTGCCTTATGTAAGCATGCCTTATAGTTCTTCAGTCTTGTAACTGGGGCAAAAGAAAGACTTGGGCAAAAATCTCTGCCTATGGGATTACTCGTAGAAGGCTGAGAAAATTTTCCATGGCTTTTCTTATAATATGTATCTTTTTTTTTTTTGTCTCTGAGTACCTTTAGATGGATGGAAGTAGCAATCTTTCAAGTATAATAATTAACATTGAACTTTCATGTGAGAATGTTGCCTTTCATGAATACCTCTAGCACAGTGAGTGGCTTGACAGAGAAATGTATTAGAATTGAAATAGTGTTTTGAGGGACACAGGTGTCTGAACTTTAGACTGGGAAGGGCATGAAATCTGAAGGGATTCCAGAATTTAAAAATATTATCATCTCCCCACATGGCATGGGTAATGCTGGTATATTACTGATAACGTTTTTTGAAACTATATGATTTTGCCTTCTGTTGTTTCTTTTGTAAAGAATATACAATCTGTCATTGCTTGGGAAGTTTCACAGTACAAAGAACATATCATTGAGATGTATAATGTTTGTAATCCTATGCTTGGATTGATAAATCATGTCTCAGGTTGATGAAAACTAACAAATGGATTGCTTTGCTTTGACCTTCAGGGTCTGAGATTAGTCAGTTTGTCTATGAGACATGTTCCCCTGCTCTTCTCACTTCATTTATTCTTTGTTCTGAAGAACTGGAAAAAGTAGACTTAGAGGAAGTGGATAAAGCTTGATATCATCAGTCATTTTTGAAGAACAGGCGCTTAACATGCTCTGAATAATCAACTTTAGTAGAAGGCCTAAGTAATCAGAGTGTCATGTTTAATTAATACCTTGCCTACTTCCAATTTATATTAATTGATACCTCATTGTCATCACACCTTGTACCAAGGATAATGTAGAAACAGAGAAACTTGGTTTGGGGACAGTGCCCAGGCTTGTCTAAGGCAGCATGGGTAGATACATTTAATTGGTCCCCACTGGTTTCCCACACAATTCTGTTGTGTGCATTTGTTTCTGATACCCAAGTCCTAAACATTTGGAATGTATGTGATCACCTGCTTATTAATCTGCTCATTTGCTGTTTGATGTCTTTTTAGGCCATTGTACACAGCCTCTTACTTACATCATACAACTCTTTCCCTGATAGAAAAGACAACAAAGCAAGATAATACTGCTTGACTTCGGTTGTTGACGTTGTGGGCACCTAAGTTAAAATCATTCCGCGCCATATGCGTTTCCTCTGGAAACATACGTGAGGCTGGCTGGATTCGTTTACCCAGGTACTGCACGGGAGCAATGTGTTGACCCTTGCGGGGCCTCTGACACAGACCACACAGCCAGCACTCAGCCAGGTGGCCTGGGCCGGGGGCCCGGGGGGGAGAGGAGAGCAAGGGTACCACGTGGCCCATCTGAAAAGTTCTCACTAATGGGACATGTGGTTGACATACTTGGGCATCCAATTTTTTTCATTTCTCAGCTTCACATAGGCATGACAGACACGTGGTTCCTGTACACTTTGTTCATGGGAGGCTGAAGTGGCAGATAAAGGGTACAGAAATGATCGGATTATATTATGACCTTTTATCCTGGGGTAACCAAAGAAGACAGATATTAATACTTCAGGAGCTTTGTGGGAGCCATTTAGGTTTTTCTCTTTTCAATTTTAAGGATTCTAGACATCGAAGGGCAATACTTTTGAATGTTTCATTTGCTTTCCTATTAGTTGTTCCTTAATTCTAGCTGTAATCTTACCAAGGTTTTTATTTGTAGTCTAAGATTAAAAAAAACAAGCCAAAAAACAAGTGCTTTAGGAGCAAAAAAGAGTTTCGGTTCCTGTTATAAGAGATTATAAGTAGTAGAATGTCAGAACTGGAGGGGACTCTTGAAAATCATCTATTCTAGTTTTAAACTCATGCACAACTACCTCTTATGTCTTTAAATAGCAGTAATTCATAGAAGATGAGGAACTGGCTATAACTTCCTTGAACTA